CCTGGGCAGCTTGGCGAGACCTCATCTCTACAATAAATCAAAAAAATCAGCCGGGCGTGGTAGCACACGCCTGTAATTCCGGCGACTTGGAAGGCTGAGGCGGAAGGATCGCCGGAGCCCAGCAGGTCGAGGTTGTGGTAGCCAGAAGCGGCCACTGCACTCCAGTCTGGGCGAGAGAGTGAGACTCCAACGCAAAAAAAAAAAAAAAAACTGTTTTGAGCAGTGGGAAAAGTGTCCTGATAGGTGTATTGCATCAAATGGAGAATATTGGAAGGTGACTGAAGTTTAAACATGTAAGAATAAATACACAATTTTTTAAAAAACAAATCCGGGGTTTTTGGGTCCCCCCTCATGCATGCAATTGTATAATACGAAACATAATATTACACCTGTGAATATGTAAATAATGTGCATGGCCTAGAAGAGGAAAACTCCCACATACCCTATAAAGCCACAGGCTTTACAATGACCCATAAGGAAGTCAAATCATACATTTTTTTCACCTGTAACAAGAGCAAAAAGGAGCCCATCAACCGTTATTAAATACCAAGCACAAACCGTGTCCTAGGGCCGCTGCTAAGCCCCTGTGAGATCCTCTTCCTTGCCTCCTTTCAGCTCACTCTCCCTGGCTCACTCCTCTAGCCACACAGGCCTCTTCCATGTTCCTACAGCATAGCAGACACACTCCTGTCTCAGGATCTTTGCACTCACTGTGTCCTCTGCCTGAAATGCTCTTTGCCTGTTATCCGCATGGCTCCAACCCTTATTTTACTTCCTGGCCACCTTATCTAAAATTGTGTCCCACTGAACAAACACCTGCTAACCCCTGTTTCCGTTCTAGTCATCTCCCTGCCCAGGCCCATGACTGTCTATCACACCATATCTGTGGCACGTGGGCCCTGTTGATCGCCTGTCTTGCAAACTAGCATAGAGACTCCACAGAGCAGGGATTCTTGTCGATTTAGTTCACAGTCACGTCCTTACCAACCCAAATAATACCTGCCTCGGACTTGGCCCTCAGGAAAGATTCGTGGGCTAAATGTGGTTGAGTAGGGGACTTGGGAGTCTCCTGGGTATGTTTTTTGAAAATTTTTCTTTTACACTTTTAAACTTTATTTATTTATTTTGTTGTTTATTTTTAGTCGGGGTCTCACTCTGTTGCCCAGGCTGGAGTGCAGTGGCTTGATCATGGCTCAACTGCAGCCTCGACCTCCTGGGCTCAGGCAATCCTTCTGCCTCAGCCTCCCAAGTAGCTGGGACTACAGACACGTGCCACCATGCCTGGCTAATTTTTAAATTTTTATCTTATTCTTTTGTAGAAATGAATTCTCACTATGTTGTCCAGGCTGGTCTTGAACCCCTGAGCTCAAGTGATCCTCCTGCTTCAGCCTCCCAAAGTGCTGGAATTACAGGGCTGGATACACTTTCTAGGGAACTCAGGAGTCAAATAGGTGCCTAACACCATTGGGTACCAGACATAGAGGGGTCTAGGATTACGTGGAAGGTGATGGGGATTTGTGAATTACCCACCAGCAGAGTACAGATGTGTGGGTGTACTATCACGAGGACATATGGATTATATTGGTGCCCATGTGAAGATCTAGGGGACCCCCTGACAAGCACAGAGAATACACAGGGATCTAAAAAAAATACACAGGGACCTCAGAGGGTCCTGGAAGTTTCTCTCTAGGAGCAGGGAGAATCCTAAATCACACTGGGCTGTGGGTATGGAGCCCTGACGCTGGTGGGGACACAGACTTTGCCCTAAAACAGCTGGGTGGGTGAGCTTGGGGGGCTAGGGAAACAGAGAGGAGTCTTGAGTCAGCGACTCCCAAAATGCTGTCCCTTCTCTGCCTCTGTCTCCCTGGTTCTCTGCCCCTCCAAAGTGTCCCCACCTCACCCTGTATCTGTCCCTCCACCTGTGTGTACCCCCGTCCCCTGCAGCCCCTCTCTGTAGCTGTCTCCCCATCTCTCTCCGTCTCTGGGGCTGGCTCTCCCTGTCTCCCCCGGTCCCTGGGTCTCCCGGTCTCTGACGCTCCATGGCTCTGCTGTCCGAGGCTCCTTCGCCCTCCCGGCTTCGGACTCTCCTCCCTGCCACGACTGCCTGCCCTCCGGTCCCTGCCCGTCTCTGCCCGGTCTCCGTCCCTGTCTCTGCGCGGTCCGCGTCCCTCTTTGTGTGTCTCCATCTCGGCGCTTCTCCGACGGGACCCTCGCTCTCCATCCCTCCCTCCA